CAAAAATTTAAGAGGCAAGGAGGCCAATATTGGGAGTCTGGGTGCTAAAAATTGATTCAGTGTACTAGGGTCCAGTTCAGACCTCCCCCTTTATTTTCACACACGAAGCATTCTAGAACTCATGGCTCTAAGTTCACGGTGTCTGCCCATGGGCTCTGCTAACACCTTGCCAGGTCCAGCAGAATGGCATCTGCCACACCTTCCTGTGCCCTAGTCCCACAGAAAACAGTAATTTCCCTAGACTTGTGTCTAAAAGTGGTCATAATACCAGAACTGCAGAGAGCTAGCCACAAGAACTCTCACCTGATTTCCCTACACTGCTACCCATCCAGTACCTGCAATCTAGGGCTTTTCAAATCTCCTGCTCAGCCACGAACAGAGTGATTATATATGCTTTCCCCTTCCCACCTTGCCCCAACTCAATGATAGATAATAATTTGCAGCAATTAAAGAGCCACTGGGATATTTACCTGTGACAGAACAGTGCCACAGAGCACAACTCCCTGTGCCAACAGAATAGAGCCGGAGGGACAGAGGAGGGCAGACACAGGTGAAGTCATATCTAGTCGACTCCAAAACCCTGGGGGACATTGCGGCATAGCCTTGATACCAGGGTACCCCACCAGCCCATTTATAAAAGGGAACAAAAAATTTTTTTAATGCTTTCAATTCCATGCTGTGGTCCTTTGTGTAACTTTGAATGTATACCTGCAGAACTCTGCTTGTTAGCATCCATTAACATAAGAAGGTAGCTAGGATGTTAATCTCCAGAGCATAGTCTAGGATTTTAACATAATAGAAAACAGGACTAACTACTCTTGGGTTCCAAAAAGTGTCTTTGAAAGGCTGCAAATTGTGCCCTGACAGTCCAGACCGGACTTGCTCCCTCACAGCAGGTCTGCCTCAACCCAACCCAAAGCATACCTACAGTTATAGGTCTCAGACAAGGCTCTGAGGCCTCCCCATCCCCTACAGCCACCTGCCACTGAGTCATGGCAGCAGCCTACCTACATAGAAGTTTGATCCACCACCATATTAGGCCACAGGTAGTCTTCAAAAACACACTTACCTGTCACACGAGAAAGAGCTCAAGGCCCCACAGTCTCCCGGAAATATAGTGCCCAGTTCTTCCAAAATGACACGCAAACAGCAACATACTAAAACACCCTGAACTAGAAAACAAGAAAAACAAAACATAACAGTGGAGCTAACAATGCTCATAGAAGAAACAGATGTGAATCTGCCACATAAAGAAAGCTTCAGAAGGCTGCGTGGAGTAATACAGGATATGAGGGAAGCAATGCAGAATAAGGACACAATGATAGAGGATATGAAATCCAAGATAGAGGGAATGATGGCCATGAACCAAAGGGAAATAAAGAGCTAATAGATGAGGTAAAAGAAGCAAAACACAAGATCACAGATCTCAACAAAATAATAGAAAGAGGCAGATTATCGTACCAGCGATCTTGGGGACAATCAGGTAGACTTCAACAAATGGGAAAGACAGCCAAACAAGGTCATTAAAAAGTCAGAAGAAAACCTCATATCAATGACAGATGCTATTAATAGGAACAATATTCGAATAATTGGTGTACCAGAACAAGACATAACAAAATAGTCAACAGCTAAATTAGCCAGGGAATTTCTGGAAGCAAATCTCTCCACTTTAATGAGTGAGAATCAGACACTCATACAGGAAGCAGAGGACAGCAATTAGACTAAACCCCAAGAAGAACTCACCAATGCATATAATAGTTTAATTATCCAACTGTGAGCAAAAAAAAAAAAAAGGTAAGAGCAGCAAGAGAAAAAAAATGGTGCTCAGGTAAGAATATGCTCAGACCTCTCAGCAGATACCATGAAGAGGAGAGGGTCAAATAACATCATCTGAAAGCCGAATGAAGAAGAAAAAAAAAAGCCAGCCCAAGAATCCTCCACTCAGCCAAAGTATCTAATAAGATAGACAGTGAGGTAAGAGTTGTCCAGGGCAAGAAAAAACTCAAAGAATATACCATAAGAAACCCAGCCAGAGTAAAATCCTTGCTTATTCACTATGGTCAGAAGACCAACATACACCAAGCACAAGCAGGGTACAACCATATAGCCCAACTCCACCCAGAAGCAAATGCACAATAAAAAATTTCCAGATAATATGGCCTGAGAGGGAAAAGAAATAAAGAAGGAAGCCCCCCATACAAATACAGAACATTGATATGAAGGGAGATAGGAAAACACCCAACACAAAAGTAGGAGATGATAGCTATGAATCCACCGATGGTGCTAATAGCTCTGAATGGCAATGACCTCAACTCATCCATTAAAAGATAAAGGCTAGCAGACTGGCTCAGAAAACATAACCATCAACGTGTTGCCTGCAAGAGACGCATCTTAAACTCACAGACAAAAATAGACTAAGAATAAAATCATGGAGGAAAATAACCAGGCAAACAGCACCTTAAGAAGCACAGGGATTGCAATCCTAATCTCCAACAAGATTGACCTCAAGGTGCAAACCATAACAATAGACAAGGAATGGCACTATATAATGCTCAAAGGATCTGGAGACCAGGAACCAGTGGGAATAATAAATATATGCATGCCTAATGAGAGAACTGTGAAATTTGTCAAGCTATTCAAAAGCTGAAAAAAACAAATAACAGATCCAACAATTATAGTAAATGAGTAATACACAGCAATCAGAGAAAGATAGATCACTGTGAAAGAAACTCAGCAAGGAGGCTACAGAGCTAAACACTACAATAGGTGACTAGACCTGATAAATGTTGATAGAGCTATCCATAGAAATGCAAAATAATTCACATTCATTCAAGTACACATGGCTCATTTTAAAAAATATACCACATTCTGGGGCACAAGTTGAGCCTGAGTAAACTCAAATGCATACAGATTGCTCTGATGTCCCTGTTGGACTACCATGTCATAATGCTGGAGATCAATAAAAGTACGGCCAGAATTTAAGAGAGGAAATTAGAAAGTCTCTAGAAACTAATTTAAATGAGAATAAAACTTTCCCAAACCTATGGGATACAGCAAAACAGTTATCAGAGGAAGTTTGATAGCAATTAATGCATATATGAAAAAGGAAGAGAGATTTATGACTGATACACCACCACAAAAACTCCATCAACTAGACCAGAGTCAACAGAAAAACCCCTCCAATAGCAAAAGAAAAGAAATAATAAAAATAAGGGCAGAATTAAATGAGTGGGAAGACAAGAGAGCAATGCAAAAAAAACAATGCAGCAAAAAGCTGGTTCTTTGAAAGGACCAAAGGAATAGATAGACTGCTGGCAAGCCTAACCAAGGAAAGAAAGGAGAAAACAATAATAGCCAGGATGAGGGATGGAACAGGGGAAATCACAAAAGACCCCAAGGAGATTAAAAGGATAAAAACAAAGTACTGTAAAAGCCTGTACTCTAATGACTTGGAAAAACAATCCCTCTCTAGATTATTCCAGATAGAGGTCAAGAACCTCAAAAGACCCATAGAAAAAGAAGACATAGATATAGCTATCAAGAAACTACCAACCAGAAAAGTTCCCAGACCAGTCAGCTCACAGTAGAATTCTATTAAGCATTCAGGAAATGCTGACACAGATCCTCCACAAATTATTCCAGATCATAGAAAAAGATGGCAAACTCCCAAATTCCTCCTACGAAGCCAGTATAATTTTGATACCCAAACAGGGCAAGGATCCCACAGGAATAGGCAACTAAAGACCAATATCTCTAATGAACATAAATGCCAAAATCCTTAGCAAAATATGGCCATAGAAAACAAAGTGTATAAAATATATCCTCCATCATATCAGGTAGGATTTATTCCAGGAATGCAGGGATGGTTTGATATCTAAAAGTCCATCAATTTTATATACCACTTTGATAAGAAAATGTATAAGAATTATGTGATAATATAGATCGATGTAGAAAAAGCATTTGACATTTGATAAGAAAAAGTATAAGAATCATGTAATAATATAAATAGATGTAGAAAAAGCATTTGACAACATTCAACACCAATGCTAATTAAGACATTCAAGAAGATAGGAATGAAAGAAAAATTCCTCAAGTTAATACAAGCTATCAACGAAAAGTCAACAGCTAACATCATAGTCAATGGAGGAAAGATGAAAACAATCCCACTGAAAAGGGGGACCAGAAAAGGATGCCCCTTGTCCCCACTTCTATTCAACATTTTACTTGAGGTCCTATCTAACAACATAAGACAGGGGAAGGATATAAAAGTTATCCAACTGGGAGAGGAGGAAGTGAAACTATCACTATTTTCAAACAACATGATTCTATACATTGAAAATCACAAAAGCTCCACAACAGGAGTATTGGCAGTGAGAGAGGAATATGGCAGTGTGGCAGGATACAGGATCAACAAATCAAAGTCTATTAGTTTACTATATACATCAGACAAGACCATGGAAGAGGTGATCACAAAGACAGTACCCTTCATAGTAGCCAAGCACAAATTGAATATCTATGGGTATATTTAACCAAAAAAACAAAAGACTTTTGCAAGGAAAACAGCACGTCCCTTTCACAGGACCCCAAACGCATCCTCCACAAATGAAAGAATATCCCATGCTTATGTATTAGAAGACTCAAGATAGTAAAGATTTTAATCTTATCCAAGGCACTATAAAAGCTTAACACTATCCTGATTCAAATACCAACAACTTTCTTCAAAGAACTGAAAAAACTGACCACCAATTTCATATAGAGAGGGAAGAAGACCAGAATTATCAGAGAACTCTGTAACACATATTTTCAGTGGCAAATTACTATGAAAATAAAATCATGGACATTTGCATCTAATACAGTTGATGGTTTAATAAATATTGAAGCTTACTGATTAATCAATAATCTGTGGATGTTATAAATATTTTCATTTTCCTTATTTTATGTAACATTTTTGCATAGATAAATGCAAGAAATATTTATTACTTTGTCCATTTTTTTTAACTAGGGGAAAGTGAGAGTGCAGTCCCACTACCATAAATTATGGAGTCGAGTTTCCCACATTTGGGGAAACCGCAGGGGTCAGCACATTCCAAGTGCAATGGATGAGCCTCACCCTGGGAAAAACCACCTTTGTGATCATGATATTTTCACTTTGTACAATTTTTGGCAAATACTAACACAATAGTGGCATTCTAAGGATTTAGATTCATTTTAAATGCACCATCAAATACACTGGCAAAAATATACAGTGACATCTGTATTGATATTACAAAATCAAAATAAGAAAACAAGATCAGATACAGAAAGCAATTAGAAGTCATTAAATGTTTCTGGGAAGTGTACTAGTTGGTAAAAAGCTGTCCACATATTTCTAAACAGTAGCTCTTCATGTTTTAAAGGTCTCAAACATGAGACTAATGTCTACAAATAGAGGCACTTCAACTTTTCATGTATACTGTGATTTACAGAATTTACTTTATAACAAATTTATCATCTGTCTCAAGGCAAGTGATATGCATCATATAAAGAATTCAAAAAAATTTTATATAACTAAAGAGTTTCATTTGTTAAACATTTCTCAAAGAAAACATGAAGACATTCAACATTCATAGTTTTAAAAAACACGATACTAATTTTCATATGGGAATAGTTAATATCAGTATTAAATACATTAATATGCTTTTGTCTTAAAATATCAAGAAAAAATAGAGGAAAAAGTCTGACCCTAACATGCAAAGCAATGAGTTTACTATAAGGTGTAGTGCATATACGTTATACTTCTGATAAAATATAAAAATTCTCTATTTTAAATATAAATATTATATAACTATGTATAGCTTATAAAATTAATGTATTGCTGTCTATAAATAATGCATATGTAACTTAGAAAGCATCAAAATAAAGCAGATCGCAGAGAATTCTCCTAATCCATCTTTTGTTGCTTTTCTTTAAAGCTTTGCCATATATGTGCATTAAAAAAATTAATTATTTGCATTTGCATATTTTGAGCTTTAAAAAAATTGTGACATTTTTATTCTCTTCTTTTTTCTTCACTTCATGTTCCCAAGATATTTGTTTGATAAGTGTGGTTTTCCTAAATTCATTCTGATTATATTTTATCATGTACATACTATTTTTCAGTAAAGTGAAATCACTTTCCAAGGCAGTGGTACGTACACTTCTCGCAGCCATGCTTCCAATGTCTGCTGTTGCACCCCTCTGCCTTCACTTTCGTTTGGGCCTAATTGTCATTGTGGGCAGTTGCCTTGGAGTGGACGTGGAGTGACCTCTGCACAACCAAGCAAAACATCATCTAGTCCTAGTTGGTCATACAAGCATTGGTAGCTGCTAGTATGCTCAGGACTACACATTGTTGCAGCTACCGTACAATTAACCTTTGAGCTCATGCCAATCGAGGGGCTCCTATCCCAGCACTATGTAGGAGCATATTCTGGTGCATTTAGAAGCTATGTATAAGATTTTAAGCAGTTTTTCCTTCAAAGTGGGGGAACTAAGTCCTTCTTCCTTCTCTATTCTTAGCCCGGATGCTCTGCTGCTCTTCATTTTCAAATAAAGTCTAAAATAATTTTGAAATAAAATATTTTATGAAATAGTGATGAGCTATACACTGACTTAAAAAACAATTTGATTCATATTCACAACAAAACCTCAAACTAAGATGTGTTAGGCAGGGTTTTCTAGAGAAACAAAACCAGAACACTTATGATTATATATATAATTATATAACAAAAAGAAATGTAACAGTTAATAATCCACGCAGCAGGACAGAGGGCTCAGTTCAACTCGCTTTTGTGGAGCAGTTAATGTTTTGAAGGTCCTTCAACTCATGGAGGCTGCTTGGCCAAGGAATCTGCCCTCAGGCAAGAAAGGCAGAGTTGGTCCACAGGCAGCAGACAGCAGTGTGGGGCCACAACAGCCAGTATCATGGGAGCTTAGTGAAGCAGACCCCGATGGAGTCTCAAGGTCTATTGATGCACACAGGCTGACATGATCCACCAGCAGCATGGCAAAGCAGGTCTCGAAGGAGTCTAAGTTCTGGTAAGACATGGCAAGGTGACACGAACCATGGGTTGACTCAGCCCATAGGTAGTGCAGCACACAGTTGAGGCAAAGGACTAGCTCAAGCAGCAGCATGCTGGTTTAATCACCAGGGAGAATGAGAGATGGGGGCCGGCCTTGGAAAGTATTGATCTCGATTGCTTTCCAATCAAGCTTCTACCTGGTTAAACTCCGCCCACATTTTCCTACAGAAGTCGAGTTGCCACAATAAACCTATCATATAAGATGTGCCATAAGTTTGAGAAAAATAATTAAAGCCTCCTTCTAGATTCATACATTTATTTCGAGTATTGAGACAAAAGGTAAACTTTTCACAAATGACACTATTCACATATCTTTGTGAATGAAGATATTTTCAATATCATGTAATGCAACAAAACATACAACATGATGTGTTTTTTTTTAAATCGTAAAATTCTAGTCTTTTTACAGCTAAATTACTTTCAAGGATGACTACATAAGCTATTGTCTGTGCACAATAGTGTCCTGAGAATGCCACATTCTTGCATTGCCAGCTGAAAGCTCACAATTAGAGAAAATCTATAAACTCTATTTCCAACTCAGTTCTTGCACTATACCAGCAGCCTATAATCCACAGTGATTGCAGTGTCTTGTCCGGGAGGCAGCATTACTTGGTTGCCTTGGCAAGAATTATACCCTGGAGTCAGAGTCTGTTTCAGAGGCTTGGTGCAAAGCCTTCAATTTAATAGTAGATAAAGTATTAACTCAAAATAATTTTGAGGCTTCTACAACTGAGAAACATCATTGCAATGCACAATAAGTAAGTGTTTATAATCCCATCCTACAGTCTTGTGGGCAAATGTCTGGAAAACAATCTAAATTGCAACAACATTTGTACAGGTATTTGTCTCTTTAAGATGTGATTTGCAGCCTCAAACGCATTTTAAATTGGTGATTTAGTCTCTAAAACAGCCCAGGTAATAATTGAGTTAAGCCATTAACAGGATGTGTAATCAGTCATCCACACCTCCTGTGTATTGTGTGCTGTGCAGAACTCTAATGGTAGTGCTGGGAATCCTGTCCTGCGAATAGAACTGGCAGAATGATGGTGACTCAGAGTCCTGATCCCAGTTCCAGACTCCCTAAGGCATGCTCATCTAGGAGAAAACATCTATTTTATAAGCTATACATATCAATTCTACTCTGGAAACCAACTCGCTCTATAGTTCCTCAATAATAAAGATAGTGTTCAGAAGTCTATTTCTTCTTGGATGCATAGCTATTTAATGTGAAGTAGGACTTCTACCCTAGAGACATCTATATCAGGGATATGATAGTAGAAAAAATTAAGCCTGCCCAATACACAAACCTTATCTGGAAGACAGATTTGTACCCATGCATGCAGTCTGCATTGCCCTGAAGGTGATTTTATGAGACTGTAGTAAAGGAATCTCATACTTGGAGCTAGGAATATTTGCAAGGGTAGTGTTATTTTTACTTGTGAAGTAATTCTTCCCCCTAGAGAGCTTATATTTGCTTATGCTTTTGTCTGATAAAAAGTTATTTTAAGGGTTCTTTGAGGGTTGTACAAGCATGTTTTTATGAAGCATGTTGTTAATTTTGTTGAATGATTATTCAAAGTGGTAAATATCAAAAATTTTAAGTGTTAAATGTTAACATTAGAAAAATAAACTCATATTCACAGCTAAGCTAAGTGTTCTTTATTACAACTACAGCAATACTTAGAGATGATTTAAAAGGAAAGTTATATTTTTCGTGAAAATATATCAGAAGCATTAGCTTAAATATGAAAGGGAATGTTGTGTTAAGAAGAGATGATCGACAAAGGAATTTTTCCATGAACTTTTTGAAGCCCTTTTATAACACAGTTGAGCTGTATTTATAGAGTATGACATAGAAGAGGGTATTTGAAATGCTAATTACTTGCCTGTCTATCAATTTAAGAACATAACCAACTGCCATGGAATTGATTCTAACTCATTACAACCCTATATAGGACAGGCAAACTTCCCTTTAGAGTTTCTGAGACTGCAGACATTTGCAGGAATAGATAACTTAATCCTTCTCCCAAGGATATGGTGCTGGATTGAACCTCTGACTTTACATTTAGCAGCTCCTGGCACCACCAAGGATCATTTGAGAAAGTAAAACAAAGGATATCAGAAAGAAAAGTAGATTATGAATGTTTGGAAATTAATTCTAAAATGAACATCTCTGAGGTTAAAAAGAGCGACCCTGAGAAAGGCCTACAACGGCACTGGGTAACACTCGGAGGGGATGTGAATGTCCCACGGTTTATTGTAGTGATGTTGCAATACTCTGGATGGTGTTACAAACTATGACATTGCACAAGGTGTTAAAAACTACTGCATTACACATTTTAAAAAAGTATGAATTATAAGCAGTGCAAATCACATATATATGTAACATTCGTATAAGCAAAATATAAACAAATGTGTTTATATAAGTAATATGTATATATGTAAAACATTAATATATACACACATATATATTTCTATTTAACTCTTGTATATAAAATATACTTTGAGACAAAGAAAAATTGAATCTTATATGCATTCTTAATATACTTGATTTTATATACACACATTCATTATGAAATAAGCAGCAATGGTCAAAATGCCTCTGTACTTTGATCATGCTGTTCTCTCAACCAGGTGCATTACTTAATTATCTATTTTCCTAAATGCTACTTGTACACCACTCCATATATTTCCAGAGGATCAACTTCTCTTGATTGAATATATGTAATGAATGGATTCTGATTAATATTTTAGCAACAACTACGTAGTGGCATGGTGGAGTCACTTATCCCCTGAGAGAAGAGGTACCACGGAAATGATTTTATGATTCGCTGAAGCTCCAACTTTTACATTGTGGCATCTACATGACTGCAGGCAGGACTGATGATGCATACAAAACCAGATACACCTCTGAAAAGAAGCAAGGAAGATGACTTCTCATGAGCAAGGTTCCCGCACTGAAATGGTTAAAATATGTAAGGGATCAGGAGTAACATGGCAAAGCTGTCTTCCTAGGGACCAAATCACCAACTGAAAGATCTGAATTGGCAGACCAATCCC